GTCTTTAGAACAACGACGCTGTCGAGGGTATGGTGATAGTTTCTCCGTGGGTATTAGAGATTTTTTGTGAGATGGGTTTTTAAGGTTTTGGTGCCCTAGAGGTAACACTATATCTTTCTCTTGTGATTTAAACCTCAAGTTCAGGTGTAACTTGGAGGGATTGTACTCTTGATTCATAGTAGAATATTTCTCTCTGGATTGTCTCGTGGACATAGGTACGATTTGCCGAACCACATTAAATCTTGGTGTTTGCTTGCTTTTGTATTTTCATTTGTGCTGCTATTCGTTTAGTGTTTAATTCCGTAGATTAATCTCTATAAAATCCCCAACATCAACCTCCAAGCTTCAATCGCTCATCACTAACAAACTATGTATGCATACTATGAAAGACATTGTACAGTCTTAAACAAGCACCTCGTGCTTGGTATCAAGAACTCAAGTCTTATCTACTTCAATCCGGTTTTACCAACTTGGTAGTTGATGCCTATCTTTTCATCTACACCAAGACCACCTCCATTGCTTATTTTCTAGTATATATCGATGACATAATCTTAACCAGGAATAACAACAACTTCTGGGAATCATTTGTTCATCAACTTGGGCAATAGTTCTCTCTAAAAGACCTTGGCACTCTACATCAATTTCTAGGTGCGAAAGTTATTCCTACACATCACGGTTTGTTTCTCTCTCAACACCGGCATATCAATGATTTACTACAGTCTTTTGCTATGGCAGGAACCAAGGAAGTAAACACTCCAATGTGTAACACTACTCCTCTCATGCTTCATGATGGCTCCTCTCCCATTGATCCAACACCCTGTCACAAGCTGATTGGTGCTCTTCAATATCTCTCTCACTCGACCTGATGCATCCTTTGCTGTGAATCACTTTCCTAATTCATGCATTCGCCCCACCAAATAGCATTGGACGGCTCTCAAACGTGCTCTTCAGTACCTAAAGACCACTATTCATCATGGTCTATCTTAATTGAGGAACTCCTATAAATATTCACACCTTTAGTAACTCTGATTGGGGTGGCAATCGTGATGACGGTCATTCAACAACTAGCTACATTATTTACCGTGGATCAAATGTCATTTCCTGGAAGTCACAGCTCGTCAAAAATCAGTTTCTAGATCATCGTAGGAAGCTGAATATAAAGCAATCGCCAATTCAACTACTGAGGTACTATGGATAAAAACTCTTCTTCATAAATTAGGCATCCGTCTCAAGAAGACTCCTTCACTATTACCCAAACTTTCACTCAAAAATGAAGCAATTGCTCTTGACTACCAATTTGTTCGGGAATGTGTCACCAATAGATCGCTATGTTTACATCATATTAGCACAAAAGATCAATTAGCAGACATCCTCACTAAAGCAACTAGCCGGAAACAATTCGTAGCTCTTCGCTCCAAAATTGGAGTCAGCGATGATGCCTCAATCTTGCGGGGGTGTTTTAGCGATACATCACCACAACTGGAGTCTTCTGTTAGAGATACTGTTGGAGTTTTATGCTGTAAAACTGACTTTGAGAAAGAAATAAAGGCAAGCACAACAAGGGATATTGCTGTAAAATGTCCACACACTTCTATTGAACAGAAATAATACTTAAATACAGAAAATTTCATCTAGTGAATCCTAAAAACAAGCAACTACGTGGAATCATGTTCCACTATCAACAACAACTAAAATCCAGCCACTAACATCACTAACTGGTAGTGTTTTTTAACTGGAAAACAGAAAATGGCTAAAAATAAGGAAAATAACAGCAGTAAAAATTGACTGAGTCTTTGTTGCAGTAACTGAAAGCAATCCATCAACACTCCTCCTTGCTTAATTGCTGCAAACTCCAAGCTTTTCTCTAAGAAACTCAAATTTGCTTCCTGGCAAAGGTTTTGTGAAAATGTATGCTAGGTGAAGATCAGTTTTGCAGTACTTCAGAACAACAGAACCTTCTTTCTGCAGATCTCTAAGAAAGAAAAACTTAATGTTGAAATGCTTCGTTTTCCCGTGAAAAACAGGATTAGTTGAGATTGCAATTGCTGCTTGATTATCCACAAATACATCTGTGGACTTTTCTTGCTTCAAATTTAGATCAACCATCAACTTTCTAAGCCATAAAGCCTGATTTGCAGCAGCTGTTGCTGCAATAAATTCTGCTTCAGCAGTTGATTGTGCAACAATCACCTGTTTTTTGGAACACCATGAAAAAATACCAGAACCAAGATTAAAGCAATAACCAGAAGTGCTCTTCATATCATCAGAAGAGCCAGCATGATCACTGTCAGAATATCCCTGTAGAACACAAATCTGACTTGCATGGAACTTTACTCCCAAATCCAATGTTCCCTTGACATATCTAATCACTCTTTTTGCTGCTCTAAGATGAGTTTCAGTTGCACAATTAGTGAACCTGGATAGCAAACTTACAGCATGCAAAATATCTGGCCTTGTTGTTGTAAGATACATGAGGCAACCAACCAGGCTTCTGTAAAAAGTTTCATCAACTCTTTCAGCATCATCATGTTTGCTCAACTTCTGCTTTTGACACATTGGAGTAGGCATGCTCTTGCAATCCTCCATTCTGAATTTTTTTAAGATCTCCTTTGCATACTTCTTCTGGCAAACAAAGACTTCACCTCTTTTCTGCTGAATCTCCATTCCAAGAAAATAAGCCATCTCTCCCAAATCTGTTATTTCAAAGGACTGTTTCATGTCTTCCTTGAACTTGTTAACAAGCTCAACATTACTTCCTGTCACCAGCAAGTCATCAACATATAATAAGACAATAACAAAATTCACTTCGTCACCTTTAATGTAGAGTGTAGCTTCACTGAGGCTTTTTCTGAAACCCAGTTGCATCAAATGCTCATCAATTCTGCTGTACCAGGCTCTAGGTGCCTGCTTCAGGCCATACAATGCTTTCTTGACCAAATACACATCATCTTCATGCCCTTTGACTGTAAATCCATCAGGTTGCTCAATGTATATCTCCTCCTCAAGAAAACCATTTAAGAATGCATACTTTACATCTAACTGGTAAACTTTCCAGTATTTTTGTGTAGCAATAGCAAGTAATAATCTAATTGTATCAAGTCGAGCAACAGGAGCAAATGTATCAGAAAAATCAACACCAAAAATTTGAGCATACCCTTTCACAACAAGCCTGGCTTTGTACTTGTTGATTGAGCCATCTGCATTCAATTTTGTTCTGAACACCCATTTTACTCCTATCACTTTCCTATCTGCAGGCCTCTTCACAAGTTGCCAGGTCTGATTTTTCTCAATCATGCCCAGCTCCTCCTTCATTGTAGCTATCCATTTTGGATCTTTCTCTGCTTCCCAGAAGTCTGTTGGTTCAAGAACAGCAACATTACACCTTTGATAAATATCAGAAAGTGATCTCATACCTCTTACAGGAACTGGTTCAAGAACAGCAACATTACACCTTTGATAAATATCAGAAAGTGATCTCATACCTCTTACAGGAACTTCATCCACCAATTCATCTTCTTTCAAATGGAATTTTGAAGTCTGGTTTGAAACTGAAGTTGATTGCTTTCCTTTCCAGTTCCATTCTTCATTTTCCATAAAATGCACATCTCTACTTATAAGAATTTTCCTTGTGTGAGGTTGGAAAATTCTATAAGCTTTAGAGACGGTATTGTAACCCACAAAAATCCCTGCCTCTGCATTTTTGTCAAGCTTATCTCTCTTGATCTGTGGCACATAAGTAAAGCACAAACATCCAAAAAATTTTAGATTTTTCAAATTAGGTTTGAACCCATACCATGCCTCAAAAGGAGTCTTTCCATTAACGGCTTTAGTAGGAAGCCTGTTCAACAAGAACACTGCCGTGTTTGTTGCTTCTGCCCAGTACTCCTTAGGCAAATTTTTATCATGCATCATGCATCTTGCCATCTCAAAGATTGTTCTGTTCTTCCTTTCATTGACTCCATTTTGTTGTGGAGTGTATGGGGCTGTTAACTGATGCTCAATGCCAGCTTCCTCACAAAACTGATTGAATTGATCTGAAGTAGTGTATGGGGCTGTTAACTGATGCTCAATGCCAGCTTCCTCACAAAACTGATTGAATTGATCTGAAGTATACTCTTTGCCATTATCTGACCTCAACATTTGAATGGTACAACCACTTTGATTCTCGATCCACTGCTAAAATCTCCAAAAAACGCCGCAACTTTTGATTTAAATCTGAGAAAATAAATCCAGCACATACGAGTGAAGTCATCAATAAAGATTATGTAATATTTACTCCCCTTAAGTGAAGGAGTTCTCTGAGGTCCAGCAAGATCAGTGTGGATGAGTTGCAGCTTCTCAGTTGATCTCCAGACAGATTTCTGGAATGGAAGTCTTGCTTGTTTGCCATATCGACAGGCCTTGCAACCTGGTAGTTCTAACTCCAGCTGAGGAAGGCCTTCAACAAGCTCTTTTCTCTGCAAGTTCAGTACTGTAGCATGGTGAAAATGGCCAAGTCTTTTATGCCAAGTTTCTGTGATGCTAGCGACTGAGGAGTAAGCTGCTTGCTCCTCCTGCAATGGATCTAGTGAAAAGCTCTTCCCCTTCATCTTCACTTTGAATACATCTTTGCCTTCTGAATCCTTGATTTGACACTGATTTGTTTCAAAGATAACTTTGAAACCCTTCTCAAGCAATTGACCAACATTCAATAGATTTTGGCTAATATTAGGTACAAATAAAACATCTCTGATAAGTTTTGTACCTGAAGCATTTTCAATTGCCACGGTGCCTTTTCCCTTAACCGCGATATATTCTACATTGCCTATTCTCACTTTGGATACCACAGAAGTGTCTAGCTCCTTAAATAGATCACAGTCAAATGTCATGTGGTTTGTGCAACCACTGTCAACAAGCCACTTGTCACTCGAGTTGCTAGTAGCAAAACAAGATGCTACAAAGAGTTGCTCCTCCTCTTCTTGATCAGCTACTTGAGCACCATTCTTCTGCTTCAAATTCGCTTATGTCACATTCTTCTGTTGAATGTTGCTCTTGCAAATTCTGTGATGATGTCCCATCTTCTGGCACTTCTCACATTGCTGGTCTGGCTTTCTCCAGCATTTGAAAGGTGGATGACCCTTCCTTCCATAGTGTTTACAAGGAGGAAAATAGGATTTTGTTCCCTTACTGGTATTAGGAGAATCAGAACCTGAGCTTCCCTTCTTGTACTTCTCATTCTTCTTCCCTTTTCCTCCTTGATTGAACTGAGCTCTTGCAGCTAATGCACCTTCAACAGACCCTTCAGACCTCAAAAGTCTTCTCTGTTCTTGTGCCTGCAAAGCATTCAACAATTCTGCCAAGCTAACCCTTGACAAATCCTTAGTGTTCTCCAGCGCAGAGATGGTTTCTTCGAACCTTTCAGGAACTATTACAAGAATCTTTTGAACAATTCTAGAATCAGGAAATTCAGAGCCAAGTAACCTTACTTTGTTGGCGATGCTGAGTAATTTGTCAGAATACTCTTTGACAGTCTCTGAATCCTACATCTTCTGAAGTTCAAATTCTCTGATCAAATTGAGAATCTGCATTCCTTTAATCCTCTTATCTCCTTCGTACTCTTTCTTCAGGAACTTCCAGACATCAAAAGCTGACTTCATAGTCATAATCCTGACAAAGATTTCAGGTGAGACAGCAGCAAATAACGTAGCTCTCGCCTTTGACTTCCTTGATTTCTTCTCCTTTTGATTCTTAATCTGCGCCATGGTTGGATTCGCAAGCAATGGAGGAACTTCGTAGTCCTCCTCGACAGCTTCCCAGAGATCATTTGCCTCCAGATGAGCCTCCATTCTTGCTGCCCACACGTGATAGCCTTCTCCATTGAAGACAGGTGGTGCTAGTGCAGTGAAAGGAGTTTCAATTGAATCCATGTAATGTGTTTCTCTCAGTTATAGGTCCCTCAAGAAGAGAGCTCTGATACCACTTTGTTGGAGTTTTATGTTGTAAAACTAACTTTGAGAAAGAAATAAAGGCAAGAACAACAAGGGATATTGCTGTAAAATGTCCACACACTTCTATTGAACAGAAATAATACTTAAATACAGAAAATTTCATCTAGTGAATCCTAAAAACAAGCAACTACGTGGAATCATGTTCCACTATCAACAACAACTAAAATCCAGCCACTAACATCACTAACTGGTAGTGTTTTTTAACTGGAAAACAGAAAATGGCTAAAAATAAGGAAAATAACAGCAGTAAAAATTGACTGAGTCTTTGTTGCAGTAACTGAAAGCAATCCATCAACAGATACATTACTAGAAAAAAAATCTGAACAAGTCCACCTCATAATAAGCGATTCTCTTTTAGTTGTAACAACTTCTCCATATCTCTCATTGGTACTATACATTCTAATCCTATATATACTCTAAGGAAATCAATACCGAGACAAAGCTCAGATTCAAAACTCTAACTCTTACAAATGGCCGGCCCATCACAGTAAATTGTTTCTCAACTCTGATGATAAGTCGTTTGTTCATAGATAGTTCTTATTGCTACTCATTATTTTGGTACATGAATATTTATTAGTTAGGGATAGAAGATTCGGTATAAGATTCAAATTACAGAAAATGCATAACAAGAAAAGGGAAGAAGAAGATTTGGATGTGAATGAATCATGTTTGGGGAGCAGTTGGAAGATATTGATTTCACGTTAGAAGTCTAATTATTGTTAAATTGAAGTAACAATGTATCTTCTGATAGAGTCTACTTGTGTTGTTCCAATAGAAGTCTAATTATTGTTAAATTGAAGTAACAATGTATCTTCTGATAGAGTCTACTTGTGTTGTTCCAAATTGATCTTAAGCTTCCGCAATTTTTAGTAACAATGTATCTTCTGATAGAGTCTACTTGTGTTGTTCCAAATTGATCTTAAGCTTCCGCAATTTTTTTTTTATTTCTTTGGAAAAAAAGCTTCTGTAATTTTGTTTATTTGTAGCAGCTGCTGCTTTTTATATC